AAAAAACTTAAAAAAAAAGGCATTTAAAAAAAAATAAAAAAAATAAACTTCTGTAAAATAAAAAAAAAATTTAAAAAAAAATGATGCAATGTGAGGAAAAAATTCACCAGACCATCTACACATTTCTCTTCAAAAAAGACTAAACATTTTATGTCTCACACAAAATAATTTTAGCTCATTTTCCTTTATTCTAAATGTAAAAAACTCACTGCTGAGGAAGAAAAGATGGTCCAATTTATTCCTAGCAATTTACAAAAAGAACACAAAAGTGTGAACCAGTCTTACTACAGAAGACAGTTAATGCCCTTCATTGTGCTGGATGCCATTCTAGGTCTGCCAAATTAAATACAGAATCAAATACATTTTTGATTATTTTAATAATATAGTAAGCCAATGGTAGGTTCAAGAAGTTTACCTGTTCTTCCTCTTTTCTTTTCTCTTCTCTCCTTTCTTCAAGTTTTTTGGTGAGTCTGCATTTTAAATGGAGATTTATTTAGCTAAAACAACTATGGATATGTAGAAATCAATAAAGAAGTGCTCTTGAAAGTAAACCAACAACTAATCTGCCTAATCCCTAGCAAAATTCATGAATATGTGGGAGATAATCAGAAGCTAAGCTGGAGCTGAATACCTTATTTACCATTACCTCCCCTTATTTACCTGATACTGATTTTACAATACACATACACATTTCGATCATATATATTTGATTTACAAGTGTTTGATGCCTTATACAGAAGTAGTAATAGAGCATAAAATTGTTTTAAGAACAAAAGCAAAAAGCTCAATGTAAGCATTAGGTTAATAATAGGTTAATAATAATGATTCTCAACTATATGGCATCAATTAAAAGCTAATGATTCTGAAAGCAGTGGGGATGGTTGTACAATCTTGTAAATATACTAAAGTCTACTGAATTACACACTAAATTTACAGTAGTGGACTATGTCTTTCATAGTTATAGAATTTAAAATTGTAGTATATAATCTATTTATACTATATGTAGGTTATACATAAATATAAATGTGCATATTATATAAATTATATTTTCAAAATTACTGGTATTTTACTCTCTCTGAGCAGGAAGTGCTCAAAGTATGACTGGGATATATGTGAAACAGAATACTCAATATGAAGGGGATTCACCAGCCAAATTTGGGAGAATTTGTGCATAAGAACTAGAGAGAACTGAAATATAACACATTAGAGGAAAAAAGGAATTCATGAAACATTTTACTACTTAAGGAAATTACAAAATTACCAGTACCCATGAAATTCCCAATCTTTTAAATAACCCAAAAGATAAACTACCTAAGACGTGTATAAGAATGTTAACAGCAGCCCTATATACAGAAACCCCAAACTAAAACAATTCAACTATTTATCAATAATAGAATGGATAAATAAATTGTGGCATAGTCAAATAATAGAACATTACACAGCTATGAGAATGTACCAATTACTACTGCCACATGTAACAAGAGAGAAGTGTCTCACAAAAGTGATGCTGTGTTTACAAAAGAGCACATGCAGCATGGTTTCACTATGAAGTTTAGAACAAGGCAAAAGTAATTTATGGTGTCAGACTCAATGAAAGTGATTTTCCATGGAAGGGAAGAAGCAATTGAGAAACAGCATTAGGTCCCAGTGCACTAAAGCATTGGTAGTTTTTAATTTCTTGACTTGGGTGCTGGTATCCAATTACAAGTTTACTGAAGAAAAGAGGGTAACGGAAAGGTGTAGGTATGGAATCAAAGCACTTCTCTACAGAAGAATACTAGTTAATAACTATGGAAGTAACAGATCTAGGAAAACAAAAACCCACCACTATCACCAGTAATACATTTGATATTAGTTGCCTACTGATGTGAATAATGAGGAAAGCCATTAGCTAAATAAAAGTTCTCATCATAAAAGTCTAACTTGAATCTAGAAATGATGGAACAGACATCGTATCAAGAAGCATTCCAGAAACAAAGCTCAGATTCTTAAAGAAAAATAAAAATAAAAACAGTAAGACAAGTATTTTGTACTAAAATAAACTAAGCTCAATTCAATGAATGTTCTTTGGATCTTGAATCAGAGAAAAAGTTATAAAGAACATCAAGATAACTGGGGAAATCAGAAGATGATCAAGATTAAATAATCTTACTAAATCAATTTATTAATCCTTAAATGTGATAACAGCATTATAAAGACATCTGAAAAGTCTTCATTCTTTAATTACATGACACTTTTAGAATTCTGAGAATATGTAATTTTGTTCTAAATTGGCTGAAAAGCCCATTACATCTTACTGCATGAGAAATTGTTTTATTTACTGGTCTTTTAGTGGCATATGGGGCAGGTGCCACTAGTTTTCAAAAGAGCAACCAAATAGGAAAAAAAAAAAAAGGGGGGGGGTGTCTCCATCTGTCTTTAATTTTTTTCAGGCTTGAAACCTTTCCAAATAAAAGACTTCCAATAACAGCACTAGAAATTCTGTTTCCCAGGTAATTCTGCCTTTTGTATTTTTAAACAGTGATATAAGCAAAATATATCTTGGGCTTCCCTGGTTGTGCAGGGATTAAGGATAGTGCTATCCAGCTACTTCTAGTCATTACAACATGAGTATGATCCTCAGCCGGCCAGGGAGCTAACCCCCATGACACAGCAGACCTCTCCTGTATCACATGCTGCTCCACTTGGCAGTGTATTTTAATACATCTGCCTGTTCTGTTTCCCACACTCTGGTGAATCCTCTAACCCCCCTCCCTATAACCGCTGGCTAACTTGTTTTTGTCTGTATAAATAAATAAATCTTTAATTTTTCTTAAGATTTATTTATGGCATACAGAACTAGGGTACAGGCCAGAGGTACAGGGGTGAGTGGATTCACCAGAGACAGAGCGGGGAACAGAACAGGCAAACTGATGAAGTACACTGATGAGGAGAGCAGCAGGCAGGTCAGGAGAGGTCTGCCATGCCATGTTGGCCACTTCCTTGGGAAGGGATCGAAATCATGCTGCAGTGGCTACATTAGTCACTGTGCTTTTAACCCATTGAGTCACCAGGGAGGGCTCTAATAAATAAATCTTAAAAAACACAACTAAAAAAATGTATCTTTTTTTTTTTAAATAATATAATCGTTTACTTTTACATCATTTTGTGCCTTTTTCCATCTCAGTGTAATCCCTGGGGACTTCCCATCACCAAATCATCCATGTGCCATCACCATAGAAAAAAATGTATCTTTTTATGTGAAACACTGATTCATATAAGTTTTTGCTTTAAGAAGACTATATAACAATTAGAAAAGAAAATTCTGACCCCACAAGTCATCAAAACTTTTTAAAATATTAAATTTACTTCCTTGAGAAAAACACAGCTCATGCCCTCCCTGGTGGTGCAGCGGGTTAAAGCACAGCACCAGGAAGCTAAAGCCATTTCAGCATGAGTTCGATCCCCACCGTAAAGGTGATCCACATGGCACAGCAGACCTCTCTTGACATGCCTGCTGCTCCCCTCAGCAGTGTATTTCATCAGTCGGCCTGTTCTGCTCCCTACTCTGTCTCTGGTGAACCCTCTCACCATCAATGCAACTCTGCCCTGTACCCCAGTTCTGCATGCATAAATAAATCTTTAAAAAAAAGAAAACACAGGGCCCTCCCTGGTGGCACGGCGGGTTAAAGCACAGCACTGAGAAGCTAAAGCCACTTCCGCATGAGTTTGATTCCCGCCTGCCCCGGAGGTGACCACATGCGTGGCAGACCTCTCCTGGCCAGCCCACTGCTCCCTTCAGCAGTGTACTTCGTTGATCTGCCTATTCTGCTCCCCACTCTGTTGCTGGTGAAGTCTGTCGCTGCCCCTGAGCCTCTGGCCTGTACCCCAGTTCTGTATGCACAAATAAATAAATCTTAAAAAAAAAAAAAAGAAAACACAGCTCAAGATAGAAACTCTATATTCACAACTTTATATTCACAACATAAGATGTTTCTAAGCTGACAGTTTAGTCATGTTTCTCCTTGAAAAAATTACTTTTCTTCAAGCTAGATGAAGAAAAAAGTAGTCTCCAATAAACCTGGTGTCAGGAAATAGATGTTATTACCTAAGATAAAAGTTAGAATCATAGTTACTAACACACTCTGCCGTATTTTTGAGCCTTAGTTCTTAATCTGTACATTAACGAATTTTAAAATATCAAGGTTAAAGGAAAACACATAAATTTTTGCTTTAGACAGTTTCGAATTGCACAATTCTATAAATACCAAATGACACCACAGGATAGAAGCATCCAACTTATCTGGGTTGAGAAAAAGCACTGCATTTCAGCACAGGAAAACTAGTAGCATTTTAGGCTTTCAAAGACTAATAACTGTGCTGAAGATAAGTGAGTCAGAGGCAAAAAGAATGAGAGTCTACTAGAGGGGCCCATGAGGATAAAGGAAGTCTTATAAATAATAATAAGAGGATGTCTGGCACAAGAATATTATGTGGGGTGTTATTATTGTCACAACTGATCAATCAAATTTCACAAAAGGCACAAAATTTCAACTTGGATATATTTCATGAACAAAATGCAAAACTACAGTTGCTAAATAAATTAATACTAGCTTTAGTATTCTAGGCTTTTTTAGTTAGTTGAGTTTCATAAATTAATCTTAGCAACAGTTTGAAGTGCCTAGTGGTTTTTAATTATATAACCAAATAACCTAGATTTCTCTACATAGTGGACAGCTACTTTCTTAAGTGTCTCATGCTAAAAACTTACCAATTTTACTTAATTTCATTACTAAACATCCTTTTTAAAAAGGCCCCCAGCCCACATGTATTTTATGTCCTAATAGCATATACTTCAAAAAAATTGCCTATGTATTTCTCCAAAAGCATCGTTTCAAGTTTTTTAGCTTAACAAATCTCAAAAAGACCTCTAATTCCTATACTATCATGTTAGTATATACCTTTTGGTCTATGTCTTATGCAACTTATTATACTATATATAACAAATAACACATACACACATAATAATTTTTTAATAAAAAAATGACATATCAAGGAGTAGGAAAAACTCTAAGAGTATATTCTGTTCAGACCCAGTCAACAGCAGACTTTCCCTTACATGAATGAATTCGTTATTATCAAACAAACAGAAACTACCCTTTCCCACGGCAATGAAACAGTGTTTGAGTCATCCTTGATAAAAGGTCACTTGCCTTGTTTCTTCTCTTCCCTCACTACCACCCTCGGGCCCCAAGTTTTTCTGACTTTAGATCTTCACTTCATCAGATCTATTTTCACCAAAGGGTGCACAGCGGTGAGTATGGGGTTAGTAAAACAGAAGGCAACAGAAAAAGATGAGCTCCTGAGAACTCTAGCTCCCCAAAGCTATTCTTCTACCTTAAACTATTTCCTCACCACTGGGACAGGATCCATGTTACTTTCCCAGCACCTCTAAAGAACAATCAGAATCCAGGTTTTGTGGAAATTAAATGGACTTTTATTGAGTCATAAATAAACCAAATACCCAATGCCAGCTATCACTTTAACTTTTATTTCCCAGAGCAGCTGTCAACATGTATAAACTCTCAGTAAGGGATTTTTCCTAAATTCCAGGTAATACTAAATGTTTTAAGTCAGGACTAAAAATAATCTCTGCACATTAACCATTAACTTTTAAATTTTAACAATCACAGTATAAAAGACAATGATTGATAATTACTTTATAAATAAAAACACTAAACTAGAAACAGTAAGGTTTCTAGTTTATACTAGAAACAAAGTGCACAAAGTCATAAAATTAGTTGAAATTTTTGCCCATTTATAACTTTTATGGTATAGAGAAATAAAACCGCAAGTGATAGAAGGAACATGTACCATAATGGCAGAGAGAAAGATTGTTAGGATGACTGGTCCTCACGTAGACTGATGACGACTTCAGAAACACAGATGCTTGTTTCTAGAATGCAATCTTCATGGATACAAGTTGGTAAGTAAAAAAAAATTCTCACCCACAATTCTGAATTTCATCTGTGTAATTTTAGATTTTACTCAAATTAATGAAATAATTAAAAACTATTATTTTTTTCAACAAATACTATTCATGAAAATAAGAGCAAACCTTTCTACTCTGATGGTCAGGTCCTCTGCAGGTCTCTGATTTGAGCATCCACTAGCTTCCTGGGATGAAGTGGCATGGCCTGGACTTTCTTCACCTCATTTATTAAATGAAAAGAAGTAAGAACAATATTTTATTTAATGCTAAATTTTCAGAATGCACAATACTTTTGGATTACATTTGTTAATAATCTTATTCCTTCAATATTATTTTCCTTAAGAATGGAGTAAGAATGGGGCCTCCCTGATGGCACAAGGGTTTTAAATAAAGCACAGTGCACTATTAGCAGCCACTGCAGTACAAGTTCAATGCCTGGCCAAGGAGGTAACCCACATGGCACAGCAGACCTCTCCTCCACTCATCCATTGTTCCCTCAGTGTATTTCAGTAGATCTCCCTGTTCTGCTCCTACCACTATGATCCTGGTGATTCCTTTCACCCCTCCCCCCACACCTTTGATGTTTACTCCAGTTCTTGTATGCATAAATAAATAAATAAATCTTTTTTAAAAGAATGAACGGATCCACAGGTTTATGGGCAGCTAATCTTTAACAAAAGATCAAAGAAGATACAATGGAACAATGAAAATTTGTTCAACAAATGGTGGTAGGAAAACTGGGAAGCTACACGCAAAAAAATGAAACTAGATCACTACTTCACACCATACACAAAAATCAACTCGAAGTGGATTAAAGACCTAGACATAAGAATGGAAACCAGAAAGTACCTGGAAGCAAAGATAGGCGGAACATTACACGACATACACTTCAGTAACATCTTTGAAGATACAGCACCCAATGTAATGATAGTGAAGACAAGGATAAATAGATGGGAATACATCAAGTTAAAGAGCTTCTGTACAGCAAAAGAGACATTACAAAAAACAAACAGACATCCCACTAACTGGGAAAAAAATGTCTCACACAAGACTAGCGATAAAGGATTGATCACAAAGATATACAAAGAACTGATGAAACTCAACAAAAGTAAACAACCCCATCAGAAAATGGGCAGAAGAGCTAAAAAGACACTTCTCCAAACAGGAAATGCAGATGGCCAACAAGCATATGGAAAAAATGTTCAACATCACTTGTAATAAGGGAGATGCAAATTAAAACCCCAATGAGGTAACACCTCATACTAGTGATAATGGCATATCTTAAAACAACTAGCAACTACAAATGTTGGTGAGGATGTGGAGAAAAAGAAACTCTCCTGCACTACTGGTGGGAATGCAAACTAGTACAATCACTATGGAAAACTGTTTGGAGGTTTCTCAAACTGCTAAACATGGAGCTTCCATATAACCCAGCAATCCCACTCCTAGATATCTACTCAAAAGATACAAAGACAGTGATTCAAAAAGACACCTGCAACCCCATATTTACTGCTGCTTTATTTACAATTGGAAAGACATGGAAACAACCCAAATGCCCAAAAGTAGATGACTAGATTAAAAAAGATGTGGTACATACACACAATGGAATATTACTCAGCAACCAAAAAAAAATAAATAAATAAACACATGCCTTTTGCAGCAACATGGAGAGAGCTGGAAAAGATCATGCTTGGCCCTCCCTGGTGGCGCAGCGGGTTAAAGCACAGCACTGAGAATCTAAAGCCGCTTCCGCAATTGAGTTTGATTCCCGCCTGCCCCGGAGGTGACCACATGGTGTGGCAGACCTCTCCTGGCCCGCCCGTTGCTACCCTCAGCAGTGAACTTCGTGGATCTGCCTGTTCTGTTCCCGGCGCTGTCTCTGGTGAAGCCTCTCACCGCCCCTGAGCCTCTGGCCTGTACCCCAGTTCTGTATGCACAAATAAATAAATAATTAAAAAAAAAAAAAAAGATCATGCTTAGTGAAATAAGCCAGAAAGAAAAGGAAGAATACTGGATGATTTCACTCATAGCAGGAGTATAAAGGATCAAGGGAGAAAATAATAATAATAATGAACAATTATATACCAGAGATATTTTACGGGGGTGGAATGGGATCAAAAACGGTGCGGGGAGGGAAGTGTACTAGATTATGGTGATGGCACATGGGTGATGTGGTGATGGAAAGCCCACGGGGATTACAACTGAGATGGAAAAAGGCACAAATGATGTAAAAATAAACTATTATATTAAAAAAATGGAGTAAGAATTATAAGAGTAATTACTAATTGTTAAGTTTATTATTGACTCTAGATACAGTAATATATAAATGGATAATAAATCAATTACCCAACTGAGGTAAAAGGTAAAACTTGATGAAGTATGGCAGGAGTTAAGTCTCTAGTTATACCAATTCAGGAGAATATTTACACAATATCATTAAGGATGCAGCAAAATCCAGACTAGGAAACTACAAACAAAAACAGCAAGTAAAAAATAAGAATTTATATACTGACTGAATGAAAAAACTCACCAGTCAGTAACAACAGACTGGACTCTAATTCAAACAAACTGAAATAATAGTGTAATGTTAATATTGTCTAGTTAACTAATGATAAAATTTTTTTTTTTTTTACCATTAAACTTTCTGTTTGGTGAGGGCCAATCATACAGTGTTGTTTTTTTTAAGGTCACATGTTTTAGATACTAACATTTTTAGATGAAATGATAGAATAAGTTTAAATAATAAGTGGAGGAAAAAAGGAGTAGGAGGTACAGATGGAACAATATTGTTCATATGTACTGGTTGAGGACAGGCAAATTTTTTTCTCTATTTGTGCAGAAGAACAAGCAGGACAGAAGTATGGAGGGGTGGAGAGGAGAAAGTGTTGAGAAGATTCACCAGAGACATGGTGGCAAGCAGAAAAGGCAGATTTACTGAAATACACTGCTGAGGGGAACAGAGGACAAGCAGAGGTGTGCTGTGCAACATATGGGTTAGGCCTTAGCAGTTACAACATTGAGACTTAACTCCTAAGGCAACAAGGACAGACAATGAGTTTTGTGGTATTTCTTACACTATTTACTCAATTTTTTTGTTTGTTTTACATTTACCATAATAAAGTTGAAAAAGCTATGAAAGAACAGGGAATAGAGTTGCTACTCACCTCAGAGAAGATAGTTTACAGTCTAAGTCTAGCTGGAGTTAACTGACTACTAAAACAAAAACATCAACACTCTGCAGGAACAGAACAGAAACCAATGTACAAGATACAATCCAAAAACTCTTGACATATGATGTAGAAGGAAAATGTTATCCATTCTCAAGGAAAAAAGACAATCAACAGAAGTCAATGCTGAGATCAGCCAGATAAAGTATTATCAGATAGGATTTATTATATACAATGACGATAAAGCAGTCATAACTCAGTGAAGTAAAGGAAAGCATGCTTAAGTGAATTAAAAGATGTTAGAAGAATAAAACCTGGATAAAGGGTACTCAGAAACTATGTACAGTTTTTATAACTTCTTGTGAATCAAATTATTTCAAAGTAACTAACAAGTTAGAATATAGAGGAGTAAGAGAAAGAAAGAACTAGAAATTCCAGAACTGAAATATCAATAAGCTGTCTAGGGATATAGCAACTTTATAAGACAGTGTGTTAGTTTCTTACAAAACTAAACATATTCTGACCATACAATCTAGCAATATCCCTCCTTGGTTATCTGAACAAACAAACAAAATAACTTATACTGACAAAGAAACCTGTATCGCTTTCTTCATAATTTTTAAAATACAGATGGAACTGAGATGTCCAATAGGAGACTAGATGAATAAATTGTGATAGAACTAGATAATGTAGAAATGAGCTATCAAGCGAAGAAAAGACAGAGAAACCTGAAACACACATTATTAAATTAAAAAAGCCAATGTGAAAAGATTATATTCTATATAATTACAACAACATAATATTTTGGCAGTAAGACAAACTATGAAGGCAGTAAGGTTATCAGTGGGCGATGAACAGGCAGAGCACAGAAAATATTGGGGGACAGTGAAAATACTCTTTAAGAAACTATGATGATGGATACATGTCATTATATATTTGCCCAAACTCAGAGTATATAAATTACCAAGAGTAAACTGCAAACTATGGACTTTGCCTAGAAGCAGTGTATTTCAGTCAGTCTGCCTGTCCTGCTCCCCATTCAGCTCAATATAAGAAAGAATATTTCTTAAAACACTTTCAACAAGATATAATCTTCCTGCCATTAAAAGTATACAAGCAGGCCCCTCCCTCGTGGCACAGCGGGTTAAAGCACTGCACTAAGAAGCTTAAGCCACTTCCGCATGAATTCGATCCTTGCCTCCCTGGAGGAGATCTACATGGCGTGGCAGACCTCTCCTGACCGGCCCTCTGCTCTCCTCAGCAGTGTACTTCATCGATCTGCCTGTTCTGCTCCCCACTCTGTCCCTGGTAAATCCTCTCACCCTCCACATCTCTGGCCTGTACCCCGGTTCTGTATGAATAAATAAATAAATCTTTAAAAAAAGTATACAAGCAAAGTGTTCATAAATAGCATCAAACAATTCAAATCAAAACCCCTAATTTAACTTCTCTTTTGCAATTTGCAGTCACACCTGTTATTTTTACAAGCTGTACTTTATAATTATCTTTTAGTTCTAATTCTAAAATTGAAGACTATTCTCTCAAATTTATATAGCATTTTTATGTTATAAAAACAATTCCAACTACATTAGTTCATTTAGACCTTCCAAAATCTTCTAGGCTGGAAAGGTTTAAAAACCTGCTAAGTACCGGGCCCTCCCTGGTGGCGCAGCGGGTTAAAGCACTGCACTGAGATGCTAAAGCCACTTCTGCATGAGTTCGATCCCCGCCTGCCCCGGAGGCGACTACATGGCGTTGCAGACCTCTCCTGACCCGCTGGCTGCTCCCCTCAGCAGTGTACTTCATAGATCTGCCTGTTCTGCTCCCCACTCTGTCTCTGGTGAAGCCTCTCACCACCCCTGAGCCTCTGGCCTGTACCCCAGTTCTGTATGTACATAAAAAAAAAAAAAAAATCTTAAAAAACCTGCTAAGTACCATAATGATAGTCCCTGAATCAAGGCAGAGGGACAGAAATTACATATCAACTATTTTGGATTGTTGCCTATTTAAGATTGAAGAGCATATTCACTGACTTCATCCTCTTCTACCCTAAATGATCTATATATGTTTTTAAAACAATCCTTAAATTTAAAGTTTTTATTTTTAGAGATACTAATCCATGGCCTTTAAAAGAAGTGAAGGTGTACTTCCACTGTACCCAAAAGGGTATATAGAAAATTACCTGTTGCAGATTCTGACTTTGAATCAGAAGTGGGTGGTGCCTCACAAAGTTCTACATTTCTGTATTGAGAGTTTTCAGAAGTGCTGGTAGGTTCAAAAGAGGTGGGAGGTGTAGAGACTGAATTTTCTATTGGGTTGTCATTTGCCATTGATGTTTCACCTTTTACTGAGTGCATCTGGGTAAAAAAAAAAAACAACACTGGAGTTTTAGTGATAAAAATATGAATTTACTATGATAAGTAAGGTCAAAATATGATTAAATCTATATACTAGAGGATAAAGTACAAAACTTGGCTAAGATAACTTTCAAATGTTTACTTAACACATAATATAATCACATTACAGCATTTAACTAAGACAAGAGAGTAACAAAGTTTTTAAAGCATTGTTGATTTTCCTTTAAATTAAAACTGAAAAAAAGATTACAAGCTCTATGAGCCATTTCTCCAAAGCGGATGCAAATGAGAGACTGAATTATAGTCCTTAAAGTATATTAAGCAATACAGTGTTAGGGGCCTCCATATGACAGACTCACTCTGGCAACAAATAGTGGTATGGATTAAGTGGTCTGATGAGGGAGGAAAAGAGTTAATAAGCATCCACATAAGTACCAGCTACAGGTACATTTAACTCCACAAAGCTATATTCAAAACCTGCCAAGAAAACAGTATTTGCTACTTCTTAAGTTTAAAGGCATGCAAGTTCCTGAATCTAAAGAATGGCTCCAATATTAAGTTCCTGATATCTTCTCATGTTTATAGACAGAACAATTTTGTTCTTTCTCACCTGCTGAACTTTGTGGATTCTGTTAACAAGTTCATCTGCAGAAATACTTCCTGCTATTACTTCCAAAGGAATTCCACTGTCGCCAATAAAGAAACTGGATGGAACACACACTACAGGATCTTGACAGTTTAATTAAGTCAAACAACTCATGGGAAACAAAAAATAATTTTATGAAACACAAATGGTAACAAAGTAAAGCAAGTCATCTTTGTGGCTTTCAAAATTGGTATAATCAACTACCATGTTTACAAAATAACTTCAAGGCCTCTCTGGGGGCCAGGGGTAAAGTTAAGTCTCAGTGGTATCTTGCTATCATGGTTGCTGCTTGAATTCAATCCCTGGCCAGAGAGGTATATATGGCACAGCGGACCTCAACTGTATTGCTCATTGCTTTCCTTAAGTACATTCACCTGTTCTGCTTGTCACTCTCTCCTTGGTGAATCCTTTTACTTCCACACCTCTGGCTTACACTCCAGTTCTTATATGCATAAATAAATAAAAATAAATCTTAAAAAATATTTCTAAATGTCAAGAATTAACCAGAATAATTAACCTTGGACCTTCACTGAAAGGATACAGATTTGTGAAAACTGTAGGCAGGCTTCACTGCAAAACAAAAATCAAACAGAAAATTGCCAGGTGAACACATACATTTTCTTAAATAACAAGTTATTTTCATAAAAATTTACTGTACCAATCAGAAGTATTTTTTTGAAGCTACTATTGCTTTCACAGCCATTAGCTGGAAGGAGAAAATTCTTTGCCATTCTTTGCCATTCTTTTTGGTTTGATTTACAATTTCCAGATTAAAATAGTATTTGCTCTTATAACCCACAAACTGGTGGCTGGATTTGGTAGCTAAAAGTTAAGTTATTATCTGCCATGGTACTTTCTCAGCAGCGAGTATACCTGAATACAGTATCTCAATGAGTAATGAGAAATATTAATGCCTATCACTTATTTGTGTAAGTGATAATATACTTTGTAAAAACGATTCAAAGCAACCTATATTTACATCACTAAAAACTGATTAATTATGCAATCATAAAAAAGAGAAAGAAGGTCATTTCTGGTGGCGCAACAGGTTAAAGTGCAGCACTATGAACTTATAGAAGCCACTGAAGCATGAGTTCAATACCTGGCCAGGGAAGTGACCCACACTTCCCTGGTACAGCAGACATCTCCTGTCTCACCCACTGCTCCCATCAGCAGTATACTTCATCAGTCTGACTATTCTGCTCCCCATTCTGTCTCTGGCGAATCCTCTCACCCCCTGCACCTCTGGCTTGTACCCCAGTTCTGTATGCATAATAAATCTTCAAAAAAGAAAAAGAAAAAAAAAAAGAAACATAAAAGTGGGTCAAGATACTATCGTTTTTGTAAAAAAAAAAAGAGGCAAAAAATAGAGTTTTAATAATTTGTTAGGGACAGGAATGGGAAAAAGGATTTACATACTAAAATACAAAGCAAGAGTTACTGATTAACAAAGAGAATTCCAAAAATCAAATTAATGCTCCCAAGAACTAGAATTTTCTGGATATAAAGCATAATTATAACAAAGTATCTGAAAATACAAAAAAAAAATCTGCCTTTTCATAAATAACCAATGTAACATGCTTTTGGATACATTTCCTATCAATCTATTTCCAATATGGCTCTCTCTATAAATAATTATACACTAAAATGTTGCTAGAACATTAGGTAAAGTCACTGTATAATAAAATTTACTTTTCACAATTTAAAAGGTACACTAGATTCTACTAATGGTGACATGAAGCAAACATCAATTGTCTCCAAATATAGATATCCTGGAGTTTGCTAACAGAAATCTGTTGCATTCTGAATCTCTCATTTCTTCCACATTTCCTACAAACCCCAATATTCCTCTTGCCATTTTACTGACTTTAAAATAAAAATTGCTCCTGGGGAATGGCACATCTTCAAACAACTAGTAACAACAAATGTTGGCGAGGATGTGGAGAAAAAGGAACTCTCCTGCACTGCTGGTGGGAATGAAAACTAGTACAACCACTATGGAAAACTGTTTGGAGGTTCCTCAAACTGCTAAACATGGAGCTTCCCTATGACCCAGCAATCACACTCCTAGGTATCTACCCAAAAGACACAAAACACTGATTGAAAAAGATACCTGTACCCCCATGTTTACTGCTGCTTTATTTACAATTGGAAAAACATGGAAGCAGCCCAAATGCCCAAAAGTAGATGACTGGATAAAAAAGATGTGATACATATATATAATGGAATATTACTCAGCAACTAAAAAAGAGAAACACATGTCTTTTGCAGCAACTTGGATGGAGCTGGAAAAGATCATGCTTAGTGAGATAAGCCAGAAAGAGAAAGAAAAATACCGGATGGTTTCACTCATAGCAGGAGTATAATGGACCAGGCGAGAAAATAACAAAAAAAATGAACAACCATATACCAGAGACATTTTGAGGGGGTGGAGTGCAGAATGGGATCAAAAACAGGGGGAGGGGGGAAAGACATTTTGAGGGGGTGGAGTGGGGAATGGGATCAAAAACGGGGGAAGGGGGGATTATGGTGATGGCACACGGGTGATTTGGTGATGGGAAACTTGGGGGGATTACAATCAAGATGGAAAAAAAAATGTACAAAATGATGTAAAAATAAAGTTTTGTAATAAAAAAAAAAATATATATATATGTCGCAAAGAATAGCCTGACAAACATCAAATGCATTGCTGATAATAGCCCATTATACTTAATGTAAAAAGTGGCAATAAAGAAAAAAAACTGCCTGACAATATGATTTATTTTTATTCATTGTCTGACAATAGTATTGATTTTTTTTTTTAAAGATTTATTTATTTGTTCATACAGAACTGGGGTACAGGCCAGAGGCTCAGGGGTGGCGAGAGGCTTCACCAGAGACAGAGCGGGAAGCAGAACAGGAAGATCAACGAAGTACACTGCTGAGGGGAGCAGCAGGCGGGCCAGGAGAGGTCTGTCGTGCCATGTGGTCACCTCCAGGGCAGGCGGGAATCGAATCCATATGCAAGTGGCTTTAGCTTCAACCCGCTGGGCCACCAGGGAGGGCCACTGATTTTTTTTAATTAAATATTTTAACTGGCAGCCCAGGTTGTGTAATTCCAAATACTTACAGTTACTAATACCAGAAAATGTCTTAAAAACAGATAGATTAGAAGATAGGTAGATAAGAAAAAATGATAAAGAAAAATGAGTATGTTATACATAAAAATATATATGGCATTCAATCAAAATGCTAATCTGAGAAACATGTATAACAACAATTTAAGTATTAGACAATAAAATGATTGTGAAACAATACATCTTAAGAAAAACAAAATGATATGAAAAATTTTAGATTGTTATAAACCAAAAAAAAAATGGAATACAGCAGTCAATGAGAACCCAATTTTATTGTTTATATTTCTAACTCTCAACTCTCATTTGAGCTGCAGAATTCCATTTCTAAAAGTTTAGAAAATGTTGTTTCCTGGATATTTGGCAACATCTGTAACTCTGTAAGTCCACAAATAAACTCATTACAAAAAAAAAAAAAAAAAAAATTTGCTCCTGGGGGCTTTCCCTGATGGCGCGACAGGTTAAAGCACCACATTACGAAGCTCTATGAAGCCAGTGCAAGAGGAGTTCAATTCCCGGCCAGTGAGCTGACCCACATGGTGTGACAGACCTCTTCTGACCCACCCACTGCTCCCCTCAGCAGTGTACTTTGTCAATCTGCTTGTTTTGCTCCCTACTCTGTCGCTGGTGAATCTTCTCACCCACCACAACTTTGGCGTGTATCCCAGTTCTATAAACATAAATAAAACCTACAAAAAAAAAATTGTTCCTGGAAGACAATGGACAATATGATACCACATACATTAATACAACAAATTTCATTTTTAAAGTAACTATTATAGTTTAAATAATATATAGCTTTATGGCTATTATAAGTCAGATTGTACTGTAATTTGCTTTACAATGTAATTGTTAACACTGAAAATTTTTACATAAAATATTTACAAATGCAGAGGTAATTATTAGAATTTTTTGGTTTCCTGTATTATACACTAAATATTTTATTCTTTCTATTGAAGCAGTAACAATATGTAATTATATGATTCAGAGGTATGGGATTATACCCTTCAGGTTATGTTACCACAATTTAAAAATAATTTCATCTTATGATCTTCAAACATTATTAATGAATATCACAAGGACAGGAATATATACTCTGCAAAGGCTAATGACTTAATGTTTCTAAGCACTGTTCATTGATAAAAAGAGAAAACAAGGACATTATGTTCCTTCTAATGTAAGACAGATCTCCACCAATCTTGAGATGTGGGATGGGGGATATTAAGCCTAAAACCAATTATCAATTTATAAGAAATATTGGACAAAAGAACAAACTACAAGGCACTTATAAGGGGCCAGTTAACAAATCCAGTCTGTACAAAACTATTTTCTTCGTTACAAAGAAAAAGAGAAGAATATAGAGGGGAAGCTTACAGAGTTTAAAAGAGATTTAAGAGAGAGCAACATATCACAAATGTATGAAACTCGATGGATCCTAATACAATCAAATAAAAACCACTTGAAACTTGAATAGTAACTAGTAACTGACATTAGATATAATTATTAATTTGTTTTTCAAATATCACAAAAATGCTAAAACAGAAAACACAACCTATCAGAGACATAGGAAATATATACACATGAGGGATAAAATGGCCAACATTTGCTTTCAACGTAAATGGAATGAGTAAAAACAGAGGGGAGCACAGGGGAAATAAGATTTGACTGTGAGTTAGTAATTAATCAAAGCTCACTGACATGTACATGTAGTTCATACACTGTTCAATTCTGTAAATGTTTAAAATTGGCTATAATAAAAACATTTCTAAACATGGGGAGAAACAAAACATACTTGTACTATGAATGTCCTGATTCCTACTAAATTAAATGTCTATCCCCAAAAAGAGTGACCAACTTCTCAGAAATATTCAATGTATGACTTATAACTACTTTCACATTTTTAGAAGCTGAGGATTACAGTTCTTTAAATTCCTGGTATGTATCACCTAGTTTGACAGACTAGTAGAAAATAATTTTTTCAGGAAGATGTGAATTTGGAAAACGTCAGAATTTCAGTCTCCAATATGCCTTAGACAAAAGTCAACATTTTTATAGTTAAAGACTGTCATTGGACCATCCCTGGTGTTACAACAGGTTAAAGCACAGCACCATGAATTGCTGTAGCCACTTACGTGTGAGTTCCATCCCCAGATAGGGAGGTGACCTACATGGCACAGCAGACCTCTCCTGACCCACCTGGCTGCTCCCCTCAGCAGTGTACTTCCTCAATCTGCCTATTCTGCTCCCCACTGTGACTGGCAAATCCTCTCACCACCCTTGTACCTCTGACCTGTACCCCAGTTCTTATATGCATAAATAAATCTTAAAAAAAAAAAAAGACTTTGCTATAATACTTTTTAAAAGTAACAATATTAAAATACAAACAAACCTTTTGGTATCAATTTTAATAGCAACGAAACTGTTTGAAGATGCTTCTGTCACTTTCTCATCTTCCCAACTTGCAGCCATCTGTGTAGACTGCTCATCATCACCTGTAAGACATTTCAAGAGTTCTTATAAGGCAAGTATCTGCTGGTAGCAAATTCTTTCCCTGGAAATCTAGAATTTCATATAAAACGCAACCCTATAAATACTATTTTCTATCAAATTTGAAAACTGTCATAAAATTAAAAGTATGACTATGCATTATTAACATAATAATGAAAAACAAAATATTGTTATTTAGATTACACAAGTTATTTTTTAAAAGAAAACATCCAAGTCATGGTGCAAATAATAGTAATGGATAGAAATGTATTTTGGCTTTTGTATGACTTTAGAAAACAGATGTACAGTAGTCTTACTTTATGTAGCACCTTTCTATTGAGCTAAATAACCTCCATATTACAGTACTTATTCTCCAAAATTCCTCCAAGGGAGAGAGTGTACAATTCTTACTGTAGTTTTGGACTTACCTTTTATTATAGGTAAACAAACAATAAAAGCTATACTGATCCAAAATTGATCTATGGTATAGAATTCAACATAGTAGTGATCATGGTAGAGATGCTATTGATGGGGAAGGAACATGAAGGAGCCTTCTGGAGTACTGAAAATGTTTATATCTTATCTGGATGACAGTTGTACACATGTACTCACAAGTAAAAATTCACTGAGCTTTTCTCTCAATATATTGTATGTAATACCTAAATGACAAAGTATTTTAAAAGCTACACCTATCAAGAGATTATTCTCATTTCACAATAGCCAAGGTGAAGAAACATCCTAAATATGCATGCATGCATGAATGAAGATGATACATAAATATAATGGAACATTACTTGGGTATATATATAAAAATAAAGATAATGCCCTCTCTGGTAGTGCAACAGGTTAAAGCACAGCACTATGAAGCTATCGCAGCCACTGTAGTGTGAGTTCGATCCCCAGCCAGGGAGGTGACCAACATGGTGCAGCAGAGCTCTCCTGACCTACCTACTGCTCCCCTCAGCAGTGTATTTCAGTACATCTGCCTGTTCTGCTCCCCATTCTGTCTCCGGTAAATCCTCTCATCCCCTGCTCCTCTGGCCTATATCCCAGTTTTCAGGCCACATTTTCCTTTTTACAAAAGTGAGATCATTCACCACCTACTCTTTTGTGAGCTTCTTTTTTCCTATGTGGGTCTTATATTCACAATTTAATGCACTCTTTGTCTTGCTCATCTCAACTGATACGTTAATAACTCCATTCTTTCTCAGGACAAAATCTTTAGTTATCCTTGAATTCAGCTGACTCTACAGAACATATCCAGAGTGAAATTATTTTTTTTACCAATTCCACTGCAACAACACTAATTTAAACTACCATATCTCACCTCCATTATCATAATAGCCTAATTGGTTTCTTTCTTAAAAAGAAAAGATCACATCAACCCTCTACTCAAAATTCTATACTATCTTCCTTTTTTTTTCAAAGTCTTTAACAAATGGTTTCAGTCCTCCAGTAACCTATCTGATCTCATTGCCTGTCAATTACTTGCAACTCCTTTCCTTTCTATTTAAACTTAAATATAAAAGATACTACATTAAGGTCTTTTAACTAGTTGTTTTCTCTGCATGGAAAGCTCTTCCATGGGTACCCACAAGGTTAACTCTCCTAAGTCTTTCTTCAAATATTATTTTCCCAATAAAGTCTTCCTTAGGGCCTCCCTGGTGGTGTGGGGTTGTCTCAGCAATGAAACTATCAGTAGCCACTGCAGTATGAGTTCAATCCCCAGACAGGGATTACATGGCACAGCAGACCTCTCCCGTCTCACCCACTCAGCAGTGTATTACAGTCAATCTGCCTATTCTGCTTCCCACTGTGTCTCTGTACACCCTTCCTTCCCCTCTGTTTTACACCCCAGTTCTTGTATTCATTAATAAGTAAAATAAATCTTTAAAATAAAACCTTCCCTAATCACTGCTAAAAGTACACCCGTTAGACAATCCCAGGGTTCCTTACTTCCCATTCTTTTTTCCTGAAGTACTTACCACCTTCTACAATCCTATGTGTTTTATTTGTGGTTTAGTGACCATCTCCCTCTACTAGAATGAAGGCTCGATGAAGGCAAGAATTTCCATTTTATTTAACTGATTTCACTCAAATACAGAACCCAGTTGGTGAAAAGTACCTGGCATATTGCAGGCTCTTGATAACTATTTGATGGAATAAACAGGTAGATTTCTGATGTAGCCAAGTATCTCAGCATGCCTATACATCTTAACTTGTACTATACATTGACTGTATATTTTGTGAGGAATACCAGGAATAGGGGGCTTGAGAAATGTGGCCATGGAAAATAAACAGGGACTAGAAAGCATTTTCAAACTAAGACCAAAAAGATGTCCCATTTGCAGATTCACAGAAGTTGAAATTGTAGAATGGAAAACTATCATTTGCACTGAGATCATGTGTGCAGACTATGGGGTGAAGAAAGATAAAATTCTAAGTAAATGACTATTACCAGCCTAGAAAATAGCTATATGGGAACATTCTTAACACAAACACTTTTTGGAGAAGATGTGAGGGAACCTTTTCATTTATCCTTTTCTTTTCATACATTCACCAAGTTATTCCACATTTATTCTGTGCTAGGCAATAAATTATAAACTAAAATATAAAGGGAGCATTTTACCTTCAGTAGAGCTAAAAATCTAATGGTAAAGAAATTTTACTTGTTTTAAAAATAACTGTAAACAAAGTAATAAATACGGTGGGGGGGCAGATAACTGAAAACAAGATATTTTTAGATTGATCACAAAAACTTTGAGGATAATTAAAATTAAGACCTAATGATGAAAGAACTGAGCCATACCAAGACCTAATGGCAGTGTCATGAATAAGAAGCACGAGACAAATGAGATTGAAGACTTATGTCAAAGATGACTCCCACACTTAAGGTTTATTCAATTCTACATAGGTGATGCCCATTTATTTAGATATAGAACATTGCAGGAGAACAGGTTAGACAGTAAATATACTTTTAGGTTTGACAATCCTGTGAGGCATCCAAGTGGGAATGTCAAGTAGGTCAACAGCTGAAAAGTATGGATCTGCTGTTTCGGTAGTTAGTTTTTCACTCCCTCACCTACTCTGAACAACGGCATAAGGATCCTAAAAGTCACATCTACACTGGCAATTATCTATCTGTGACTCAACCTAAGAGGCGCTGCAGCAGCTCAACCTACAAAGTGATATTGAGTGAAATTACTCAACTCAATGAAAGTTTTCTCAACACTAATAAAGTCTTATTAATTGCCAACTTCAGTATGTTTAGTCTCCTATTTTTAATCAAATTTGTGTTAGGTGGGCCTAAGATTTTTGGAGAAAATAATGTTTCCTCAGTGGCATAAGCAGCATCCAAAATAAAGGCACTTAAAGAGAACAGTACAAACTGAGAAACAAGAGTTGCAGATCCCAGTTCAGAAAGCAATGTCAATCTAGAAAATCACAACTAGTCAAAAACTAAAGACTACTTGTGGTTTAATTTAACCAAAAGGCAATATATGGTAAAGAAATTTCAGCCCACTAGAAACAATAGTCAAAGGACTCCTAACATCTTTGCTTCAGAATCCTTGTCATGTTACTTTAACTTCCCTAGAACCAAAAAATTTTTCAGTTTTTTCAAGTTGTAGTTACACTTTGAAAATCCTGTTAATTTGTTTATTGACCTAGTAGTAATCTCTCCAATCTTTGAAGATATACCTTACATTTTCTTTAATTCATTTGTAAAAGTTTCACTAAATATAAACATGCCTAACGGCTTCCAACTTCAATGGTCATATAAACTTCAAGATTGTCTCTTCAAGCTATAAAGATATATTTTTAATTTTCCACTGAGTGGGCTTATTGCTGCAGATCTAAGAAAGTCATGACTGTATTCTTGCTCGTTATTCTGTACCTACTTGTCAGTAGGCAATTTACTAACATGACCCTACTGTCTACACACCATTAGAGTGGCAGTAATTCCACTTACCATTAGAGATTAACTTCCTAAAACTCTACTAAAACACACAGTAGTCTGAAAGATTAAAGCTAGACCCCTTTGAATGCGAACAAGTTCCTGGAAACCTTCAACAGTCACTGATATTCTCATATTCATCAATCAAAAGTTAAGAAAAAAAATCTTTCTCCACACTTACAAAAGCCCCCAGACCTACAACTTTACAACTGTAATAATATTGCTGTTTCACGTATTTGTTAAATTAAATCTAGCATTTCTTCTTTCTAGTGAAATAAAACAAAAATGACTTTTAGGAACATTTGGCTAAGCAGACTGTGCTTTTTTTATTTAGATACGTGACTCATAATTCCAAAATTTAATGATTTTGACATCAATTTAAATAATTACATAAAGTCTACAACTGTTCTATTTTTTTCTTAAAAAACAAGAGTGTGAAAAACAATGTCATAAACTAAATTCTGTATATTTAATTCACACTATCAATTTTCCTTTCCTCTTTAACCCATCTTTTCCCCTTTCAGCATTACAGTAGTTCTTCAAGGGTTATATACTTCTAAAACCGCAAAAGAGAACCTAAACTACTCAAGCCCTAATTAACAGCATTCGGATAAACGTAACACAAATATAAAGTTCAAATTTAATGTTAAATTCAACAACTTATTCTTCAGTGCAGTGTTATAGTCTCACTTAGTCTCCCAAGAGTCATGAGTTAATAATGAAGAAACCGTTATTAAACACAAATATTTGAAATACACCTCCAATTAATTGTAGTCACACACTCTGATTTGAAGTAACAAGAATCAGCAAAACCACAGACGCACAGGTCTCCTATACTTCCAGAAAACTTTAGTAATAAAACAGGAGAAAATAGTGCAAAATGACCCAAACAACACTGGGTAAAAGATTCAGTGCTCATTATCAAAACTGTAGACTTGACCAGGAAGACGAAAGACAGAAGGGCTTCTTTTTTGAAAACTGGGGGTGGGGGAGTGGGAGTCAACTCGCAACAAAGCAACTATTCCATATTAGACTCTTGTCCCCGCTCCCACTATTTTTAAAAACATTATCAACCTCTACAAAGCTCAAAAGTTTGCTTTTCAGGAACGCACGAAAGAACGCCAGCAACTATGAACTTCAGGTGGTTTCTCTTTGTTGCTTACCGATGACACAGCTTTCTTCCTGACAGTCCACAACTAAGAACCCAACAGCCTGCAGAGTGAGTGGCCAGTCCAGGCCCCAGCCTCAACACCAGAACTACATGGGCGTTAAAGCATCCTGAGGTGGGTCCTCGGGCTAGATGGTTGTATCGCTGTGCCCGGGAGGATGCACCGGGGGGTTTGTCTGCGCCCATTCCTCAGGCGGCGCGGGTGAGAGGCTCAACCCGGACCGACCCGGCCGAGAGGTAGGGGCCGGGTGGAAGGGCCTAACGTCGCGTCTCCTCGCCCAGCGCAGGAGGTATCGCCGAGGCTCAGCGCACTTTAGGGGTGAGGTCGGGACGGTGGCACCAGAGCCAGGGGAAGCGAGCGGAGGGGGCCAGGCCGGGTGTGTCCCAAACGGATGGGGGAGGCGCTGAGAAGCCAGGGACGGGTAACCCGGGCACCTCCGTGCACGCAGAAAAGGCTGGGGGCCCCTAGGACTGAAGGTAGGCCGGAGGGGGAGTCCCGGCCGCATCGCCGGCCCCCGCCCCTTTCACCTGCCACGAACACCACGAAGACCGCGCCGCTCCTCTTGGCCGACGCGATGGCGGCCGGAATAGCACCCTGGAACCACCGCATCTCTCTTCTCGGGCCCAGGCGCTGGCTCCGTGTGTCGTCGCCGCGGTCCCGGAGTTGGCCCCGCCCTCCCCCTTCCACGGGCCCGAGGCCTCCGCAGCCCCAGCTGGTCCGGCCCCCGCCTCCGGCTCCGCACAAGCACGCAAGCCAGTCAGCGGCCCCCTGGGACGCGCACAAGTTCGCGAGCTAGGCGCGGCCCGCGTCACGTGACGCCACACGTCGCCGTCGGCACCGTGCCTCAAGGCCTCTTCCCGTTGGCAAGTCCTGTGCGCGCGCGCCCGCTGGGCCTCAGGTCCCGCAGTCCCGGAAGTGGAAGAAGACCAAAGGAAGGATGATTAAACGCTATGTTGCGTCGGGGGCGCCTGCATGAAGCATGATGGGAATTGTAGTCTACTTAGGCCTGTCCCTTCGCGCTGTGAAAAGTAACTGTGGTTCCTGAGGCCTGGCCAAAGGAGATGGCAGTGAAAGCCACCTCACAATCTATAAAGGGGAGGGAAGGAAATGAGCTATTTTCAGTTTCATTGAGACCGTAAATGAGGAGGAAATTGTCCAAGCCTGGGTGAAATGAGTGGAACTTTGCCTAAACAGGGATTCTGTAATTCTCTATTATGATTAATGGCTATTGTGTAATAGGATTGGGTGTCTCAGTATGGATAAATAGGCTTTTAGGAATTTTATAGCTATTGAACTTAGCAGCTGAACTAAGAAAAGACAAGGTAAAAGCCACAGCAGTCACTTGTGTAATACTTTACAGCCCTTGTACCTGAGAGGATGATAGGATGCAGGCCTTGAGTAATTTTCTAGGTATTGGCTAGAGATCATCCCTAAACTTCACAGCACAAGCTCTGCTGTTGATATAGCCACTTTCCAAAGTAAGTGAAACCACACAATATATGATTTTGTTTTCCAGATACTTTCCATGGTAATTCAAAAGAGAAGAGAGTTTTGTTTACAAGTTTATGTAAGAATCTATACCCAAGACAGGGCACTTTGTGGTTGGCAGCCATGAAAATGAAAACCAATCCAGAGTTAATACTTTCAAGAAATGACATGGTCTCTAATAACTACTAGCTAAAGTCTTTATGGTCTATTTAAAGTGGCATAACTATAAAATTGTGTATTCTACATCAATTAAATTTCTCCCTGCCTCAAAACAAGGATAATAAGAATTTCTCAAGCAGTACAACTACTTCATAATCTGCAGGTCTAAGGAGAAACTATATCTGAAAATAACCCTTTCCTACAAACATTTAACCTAAACATAGCTAACAGATTGCTCTTGCATTTTATTGACTTATTCCTCAAGTAGACCCCTTAATAGTGTTATTATGAGACTGAAGCATAATGCTGATTACAGACAGTTGTTGCTTATGTGGAATCCCATCCCTCAGGAAGAATTGCAGCTGATATTCAACATGAACTTTAAATTATTTTTTTTAAATCCAACCAATCTATAAATTCTTCCCTTAGAGTTATGTCTTTCATTATTCCTAATGTTAGGTTCTTTTGTTTTGTTTGTTTTGCATAGAACTGGGATGTAGTCCAGAATTGGGGGAGGGGAGTGTGAAAGAATTCAGCATAGACAAAATAGGAGCAGAACAGGTGGATTTACTGAAATACACTGCTATGGGAGCAGCAGGTGAGACAGGAGAGCTCTACTGCTGCCCTGTGTGGGTTAGCTCCCTGGCCGGGGGGGGGGGGTGTGAACTCAGGCTGCAGTGGTGATGGCACTGAGACTTAACCCTAGGCCACCAAAATTAATTAACAAGAATCATTCAGAGTTAATTGGTTAAAGTCTCAGCACTATCAAGCTATCACCAGCAACTGCAGTCCGAGTTCAGTCTGGCCAGGGAACTGACCCACAAGGCACAACAGATCTCCCTGTCTCACCTGCTACTTCAGTTCATCTATCTGTTCTGCTCCCCACTTTGTCTCTGCTGAATCCTCTCACCTCTCCATACCTCTGACCTGTACCCCAGTTCTTATATTAATAAATAAATCTTAAAAAAAAAATCATTCATACCTCCTTCCTTTGCAGTCTTCACTGAAGAGCCAGCAGCCAAAATGAAGTTCAGTTGTGTTGTGACTTCTGACAGGGTCAGGAACTGTAAAAGGTATTTCTGTGCACCTTTCCACTTTTGCAAGAAGATAATGTCTTCCCCTTTCCAGAGCTGAAACAGAAATATAATGTTACATCCACATCCATCCAAAAGGATGATGAAGTTCATGTGTGTGAAGGCACTACAAAGATCAAATTGGTGAAGTGGTCCAAGTTTACAGGAAGAAACATGTCATCAACACTGAACAAATGCAGTAGGAAGAGGATGAGGGCAAAATTGTCCACATGGGCTTTTTTTTTTTTTAAAGATTTATTTATTTATTCATATAGAACTGGGGTACAGGCCAGAGATGCGGAAGGTGAGAGGATTCACCAGAGACAGAGTGGGGAGCAGAACACGCAGATCGACGAAGTACACTGCTGAGGGGAGCAGCGGGCAGGTCAGGAGAGGTCTGCCACACCATGTGTATCTCCTCCAGGGCAGGCGGGGATTGAACTCATGGGGAAGTGGCTTAAGCTTCTTAGTGCTGTGCTTTAACCCGCTGCGCCACCAGGGAGGGCCGTCCACATGGGCTTTTACCCCAACAAAGTGATTATCACTAGGCTGAAAGTGGACAAAATCCACAAAAATCTCCTTGAATGCAAGGCCAAATCTCTCCAAGTTAGAAAGGTAAAGGGCAAATATAAAGAAGAAACAACTGAGAAGATGCAAGAATAATCTTATATATAGCTTTCATTGAAAACTAGTAAAAAAGGTGCCTCCATGGTAGAAAAAGAAGTTAAGTCTCAGCACTGTAAAGCTATCAGCAGCCTCTGAGTTGGTTCCCTAGCCAGGGAGCTAACCCACATGGCACAGCATTCCTCCCTGTATCACCCTCAGCAGTGTATCTCAGTTAGTATTCCTATTCAGCTTTCTACTCTGTCTCTGGTGAAACCTCTGACTTCCCCTACCCCCACACTTCTGCCCTACATCCCAGCTCTTGTATGCATAAATAAATCAAATTTAAATTAGGATAAAAATCTTAAAAAAACTGTTAAAAAGGTATTTTCCCTTGAATCTGCTTACACTCACTTTTAAGTGAATACTATCATTCATAATGAAGCTTCATTTCTAACTCAGCTCAAATAAAGACAAACACAACTAATCTTTTTTTTTTTAAAAAAAGGAGCTATCTGTAATCTTTCCTTCATTCATCAAATGTTTATTGTTCATCTACTTCTTTTTAAATGTACCTGGTATTGATGGTGAGGTAAGACAGTCCAATAGGGGCCCTGCCTTTGTGACTACACAATCTAAAGAGGAAGCCAGACATTGAATAAGTGATTATGTCACAAAAGGGGAAATTCTGTATTCATTTGGAGTGTGTGATAATGTGATCAAACATGGATTAGAAAAGGCCTTTGTGAGGAAACAACATGTCAGGAGAATTCTAGGTGAAGGAGAAGGCTATTCCAGGCAAAAGAAACAGCAATGGAAACAAACTTGAATATACTTGTAGGACTGAAAAATGGCCAATGTGCCAGTATGGCTAGAACACTGAAAGGGAAGTATTGTACAAATGAGATGGAAAGATAGGCAAAGATCGAATCTTACAGGAAGTGATTTTAAAGATTTCAATGTATTATATAGATAGATAGATAGATATAGATATAATTTTTTTTAAAGATTTATTTATTTATGCATACAAGAGCTAAGATATAGACTAGAAGTATGGGAGGGTGAGAGGATTCACCAGAGACAGAGTGGGGAACAGAACAGGCAGATCTATTGAAATACATTGCTGAGGGGAGCAGCAGGTGAGATAAGAGGTCTACTGTGCCATGTGGGTCACTTCCCTGGCAGGGGATCAAAATTGTACTACAATGGCTGTGGGGAGCTTCACAGTGCTGTACTTTAACCTATTGTGCCACCAGGGAGGGCCCCTATTTTTTATATTTTTAACATGTAACTGTGCAGCAATTTAAATGAAATGGGCTGGAAGCAGAATGAGTGAATGTGAAGGCTATTGTCAATTCATAAGGGAGATGGAAACAAATAATTTTGATATTTTGGAAGCAGACTGAAAAGATTTTGTTGACGGATTTGATAAGAAATCTGAGGAAAGATATCAGGAAGAAATTGTGGGTTTCAGGCAGCTCTCCTGCTTTCCTGTGATTTGCAAGTGCCTCTTTTTTCTCCTTTTTCTAATAAGCTTGCTCTTTTTAAAATAGTAAACAAACAACAACTGAGATGAGAAGAGGCACAAAATGATGTAAAAATAAACTATTATATTATTTAAAAAAAGAGTAAATAATAGTAAACAAACAAAAAGTATTGGGTTTCCATCTTGACAAATTGGAGGGAAGATGGTATTGAGATAGGGAACATTGAAGGAAGAGTAGTTTGGTGGAGAGGAGTACATGAAGATGAAAGTTCAAGAGTAGACATGTTTGGAGCTCAGAAAACAGTTCTTACCTAGAAACAGGCATTTGAGATTCCTGTAAATATAGGTTGTAGAGGATGCTATCACAGTGCTATATGGCAACAATAAGACTGAGGCCCAAAGACCTCCAATATTTACAGTCTTGTGTAGAAAATTAAAAAAAAATAGTAAAGGAGACTCAGGAAAGGTGGGGGGAGGGACATGTCAGGGAGTGTGTATGGAGGAAAATGGAAGAATGGGATGCTGAAATAGCCAAAGGTAGAATTTTGAAAGTGAGAAACACCTGTGTTGTATGCTGCTGCTGGGTAAATAAGAGCTTTAAATATCCACTATTTTTAGTAACAAATGATTACTAGCTTATCAAGTGTGGTTTGGTGGCAAGCCAAAGGCAATGAGTTGAAGAGTAAAGGGAAATATGGGGAGTTAATTAGCATGAAGGAAAGAAGGAAAAACAAAACATCACCTGGACAAGATATGGGATGGGAATGTCTGAATTTTTAGCAATAGGAGATGTCTGTATACAATTCTCTTCATTAGAATTGTGTACAGACATCTCCTATTGCTAAAAATAGGAGATGAGAGAATTGTGTACAGAGAGACTGAATAAACAGGAAAAATCTGGGAGAGACTGAATATACAGGAAAAAGGGAGGGAATATGAGATATGTGAAAAATCCTGATAGCCTATTGAACAACTATTCTACATAGCCCCCTACTCCTCCTAATTATTCTTTACTAGCAGTTTCCCAACTGAGATTGGAAGCTGCTAGATACTTGATTTTTCAACTTTCCCTTAAAGCCAGAAGGACTTGCGGCCATACTAAGGGGTAGGGACTT